ATTACTATATATATAATAAAATAAAAAAGTAGTATATAGACTATATAAATATATTCTCCTACCTATCTAGTCTATATACTACTAAAAACTAAGCTAACTAATTATATAGTAAACTATAGAGGACCCTAGAGTAGAGGGGGGTGATATAGTTTATAAGAATAGAGTAATAAACTACTCTAAAAAAGAAGATAATAAAGAAGCTAGAGCTAGAGAAGATAGAGTAGGGGCTAGAGCTATAAATATAATAATCTAGACTACTAGTATAGCTTATATAGCTAGTATTACTAGGATATAGTTTAAGATATTAGTAATTACCCTTCTTTAGAGGGGGGGATAGATATAAAATACTATATAAATATAATATTATTTATCTAAAGATACCTATAAACTATTAGTAAAATCTATAAAAAGAGGAATTATATAACCCTAAAATCTAAGAGGAAAAGCTAAATTTAATTTAAAATTATTAAAGAAAGAGTAGATTCTATTAAAATCTATAAGATATAACTATAATATAAAAGAAGTCTATAATAAAAGACTATAAATAGGCTAAATATTAATAAAATATAGCTAGATTAGTAGTAATATAGAAGAAAGGGACACTTATATAAATATACTTATACTTTTTTAGAGTATAGTAATTATAGGCCTTCTATATATAGCTATTTACTATAAAATAGTTATAGTAGTAGTACTAAGGGTTATAGAGCTTTATCTAAAGATATAAAATATAGGGAACTCTATAAGGTATTATTAGTATATAATTCTATAAAGTTAGGGTCTTACTAATATTAATAATATTAATTCTCTCTCTTACAGGCTTCCTCCCTTTTATAATAGGAAAGAGAAATATATTAATAAGTAAAATTACTATTATATAATATAAAGAACCTATATCTAATAAACTTTAGATAATCTTAATTATGAAATAATAGAATTATAAGATAAAGGAAAATAATAAGTTATAAGATAATAGAATTATAAGGTAGAGAAAATATTAAATTATAAGAATAATAGGATTATAAATAAATAAAGATATTAATAAAACTATTTAATTTAGATAAAGAATTATTAAACATACATAAGAAACTATTTAATAAAGGGAAGCAAGACCTATAAATCTAAACTATTATTAGTTTAATCTATTAAATTAATTACTTAATATAGAACTTACTATCTAAAATTAACTATTTAGCCATTAGATACAGGCTAGAGAGTAATAAATAAAGTAAGGAAGCTATAAAAGATAAAGAAGAATCTATTAGAGTTGCATTTAGTGTGAGTTCAGGTGAGTTCAAAACCAGTTGGCACTAAACTGCTGTGATTTTGAGTTTAAATTTTAGAACCCACAGCCAACCTGGATCTGATCTGGGTTGGTGGTGGTTTCACCACAAAAACCCACTACTAGGCCTAGCTAGGCCTAGCTAGGCCCCTACTAACTAATCATGATTAGATTTAGTTTAATTTTGAGTTAGTTAAACCACTACCCCTTAGTGAATTTTGATAGTTTTTAAATTTCAATGCCTTATTAAATGCTATATTATCTATCATAATATCACTATGCTAATCAAAAATTATTATTTTTATATGAAATATATCATAATTATCATCATACTAATCTATATCTAAAATTTTAATTCAATATCTATAGGGCTGAATGGGGGGTGGTTAAAAAATCATTTTTAAACTATAGTRGTTATTAACTATTAGTTATATATATATATATATCCAYACCACTTTCATACCACCCCATAATGAAAATAATTATTCCTCTATATCTCAGCAACCACTAGGTATTTTAAATTAATATTTATATCACTAGATAGCCTGGATCAGGGGCTATCTAGTGATATTAAAATTATTAGTGAAATACTAGAAATTAGTGATTTCTATCTAAAATAGATTAGGCAGTTTCACCTAATCTGCAAAAACCACAGAAATCAAAACTAATGGTTTTCACCAAACCCAAATTGGGCCCGGGGTAGGGAACTCGAACCTGAAGTGATTCCCTAGGCTAGGCCCCAAGCCCAACCCACTGTGGGTTCAGTGAGGGTTGGATTTGATTTTTGCGGTTCGGTTATGCAACTCTAGAATCTATATTACTAAACTAATTAAGAGATCTTACTAAGTAGGTATCTTAATAATACTAATAAGAGAAGAGAAGAAGGAGAAGTTCTCTAGAGATCTATAAATCTACTTATACTATAGGAAATATAATATATCTTTATAGATCTATAATAATTACTATTAATTATTTACTTATAATAGAACTAAAATGAATACTATAACCTATAATAATAATAGAATATATTATTTACTAATAAGAGACTTACTCCTGTATTTTAAATAACTATAGGAAGATAATATTAACCTAGAAAGATAAAGCCCTTTAGATTTCTAAATTAGGAAGTATTATAGCTTTAAGGGTAAAGCCTATAAGGAAGAGAGGTAATTATTAAGGGCTATAGTAAACTATAAAGCTACTATATATAGCTAATATTAATAGTATAGAGGGTTTAGACCTAGCTAATTATATAATCTACTATATATATCTCTGTAATTAGCTAAGTATTCTATAACTTAGTAATTAGTTCTCCTTACTTAGGTAATATATGGATATTTGCTCCCTTCATGCTGATCTTACCAGTTGATATCAACCCTTAGTAGGCGATCTTACAGACTAGTTATTCTAGGACTACACACCCCTGCTGATACTGCTAAAGAAAAAACTGGAATATTAACTATTAAAAAAAAGACATAAAGGGATAATTGATTGAACTAGATGATATTAATGAACAGGATATTGCTCAATCCCCAGTGTCTGCTGAATAAAAGTTTAGTGGGCTTAGCACACTCCCACATCTTATGGCCGCATGCTAATATTCTATAGTTCTATAGTCTACCCAATTGCCTTTTACTGCATCATGCCAGTCATTCCTTTGTTATACAGCTACCAAATTACCCTCCTGCTATTATGCCAGTATGCCTTTATACTATTCTACCATGATCTCAGGATTCTATATAAAAGTCTATGATGTCAACCCTCTTACTTCTTTCCTCCTATTATCTTTGCTATCTATTTTAATTTTCCACTCTCTTACCTACCTTTGCCTCCCGCTACTGCTTGCTGGCACTGTACCTAAGTCTATTCCTCCAACCTATCAACCGCCTCATATTCAAGCATGACGGCCCAAACCAGAAGCTGAAACTGCAGTAATGACATGACATCTGATACACTGTTGGTCATCAGACATGGGTTTGGTTGTACATCAGAGAATGGACAGTGCAATGAGTGCACTGTACGCCACCGCTACCTTAAATCACCCCATTAATGACTATAAGCTCTGCTACTGTTATGACAGAAGTTGTCAGTGATATACCAGCACTCATTATGCTGTTAGGCAGAATGGTTCGCTTTTGTGCTTTTTTTTCTTTTCTTCTTTACCAAAGATTCTTACTCATCTGATCTATTGTCTATCTTTCAGCTATAACAGTGGTGGTTAAACCAGGCATCTTTCTTGTTATTCTATTATTATTTTTATTATGTCTATCTTCTGTCTATCTTGTTTTTATCTTGTGTTTAACTTTTGCTAATTTTATTATCTTTTTTATTTTTATCCTCTGTCTACCTTGCGGACTCTATTATTATCTCTTATATTCTATCCTATGTCTACTTTATTAACTCTATCATGCTCTGTTGTTCTCTTGTGGTGGTCTGACCAACTAGGTAAGATTATTTAAATATTTGAAAAGATGATGACTTTAGACTAATAAACATAGAACCAAGCCTTAGTTATATCTTATCTACTTCTACTACCAAGACCACTTCTACCCTACTGCTGCGTCCACCAGCATGAGCTTTAATATCCCTATAGAAGAAAGAGGATTTCCCAATCGATCTCAACGACACTGATGATGCCGAAATGGATAATACATTCGGGTGGCTCCTGCCGCGATTGCCTTGTATAGGGTGATCAGGTGTCGCAGTCCCAGATGATTAGGTACTTGCCTCTCCCGGCTGCCGATGGAGAACCGCAACGCCCCCAGACGTGCCATGGCCGCGTGTCCTAAAAGGGGTCGCCGACGGGTCTGCTCGTCCAGGTGCTGAAATGGTGATCCAGGTATTCTTGTCAAACCATCTTGCGCCATGTGCACTATCATCATCCGGGAGGGCGGAGCCCCAGTTCGCCTTGTCTGTGGAATGTCAGATCACTACTGCATTCTCGTCCACTCCTACTTCCCGACCACATCTACTCGTCTTATGCATTCACCACCATGAAAACTAATACCGTTATGGAAGAAGACGATTCCCTAGTCATCTCAACGACACCAATGATGCTGAGATGAATGATACAGTCGGGCTGCTTCCATAACTGCTCTTCATACTACTCATCTGCCTGCTTGCCAGGCTGCTCCAAACCGATCCAACGGTTCCAACCTGCTTATTGGTTTACCATACGGCCCAAAATTAAGCCTTATCTATCCAATTCTTTTCTTGAAACTCCTCATCTCAACATGCGCAAGTGGCTAAAATTATCATCCAGAGACCTCTTTTCAAGTGCTTGTCATATATTTATAATCCACGACAGCGACGCATACTTGGCAAGTCTCCCATCGCTTCGAATTGTCCCAAATGCATTTCCAAGCCATGGCTACTTCTGCGCCTATTCCTGCTATGGTCGGCATTTTCATTGTGGCTATACCTGATACGATTACACTCACAACTGGTCCTTAGACTGCTCCTGTTTCTGCATCAACAATGCCTCCGACGATTGTCACTTCATCAACTGAAAACCTGGTGAACCACATAAGCATCCTATCTTACTGTTCAAAGCATGAAGACTAATAACTGATTAGAAGCCTATGCATGTATAATGATATGGAGATCAGCACTGGCAGAAAAATCTGACACCTTAAAAGCTTTGCTAACCCACCGCCGCACACCACTTTCTGACCACACTATGACTTCATTCTAGCCTCTAGCTGCCAATGAATACCAGAAATGAATACTGATAATCAGGCTACTCTTATTAACTGTAAGTTGCTGGTGCTGCTGCTGCTGGTTAGATTCTTAACTAACTCTTGTGTTTAGTTATGTTACTGTGAGAATCCAGGTGCTGGAATGTTAACTAGCTTCCCTTTTAGCACATAGTGCACAAGGGTGCCTTTTAAATGGAACTTCCCTATGCCTTAGGATCGACTAACCCATGTCCAACTGCTGTTCACATGGAACCTTTCCCTACTTTAGTCCTTAAAGTTCTCATTTAAGGATTTACTAATACCACTAAGATCTGCACTAGGGGCTATTTAACCTAGAATCACTCCTAAGGCTTTATCACAGACCCCTATGCCTGCCTACTTATCAGGGCATCATTTCTACGCTGATAGCAAGGTATGGGTAGCATGCTTAAGTGCTATCTATTTTTAGGGCTAGTTCATTCAGCCCTTGAGTTATTATATACTCCTTAGCAGATTCTGACTTCCATGGCCACTGTTGGGCTATCTAGATGAACTAACACCTTTTATGGTGTCTGATGAGTGTGCATTCTAGCACTCTGTTAATCAACCCTATGGCAACATCAGCCTTCCTTAGCACCTTCCTGACTAAGCTTAATAGCTGCCCCAACGCTGGCTGCGTCTACCTAAAGCTAGTCACCTTCCCTAAGGATTGGGACAAGGTCAACCGGGCATCCACCCTGCCTGATGATGATTACCTGGCTGTGATATATTGTCCTCTTGGTGGTGCATAAATAACTTTGGTAATAAGATATGGGTTGCCTTCTTTAGCTCTTGGATGGGGAGCTACATTGGGGACCCTTACTTGGATAACTGGCCATGGTATGCTTGGGCTGTTGAAGTTCTTCATCCCTAGAGGGGCAGGGGCAAGTACCTTGTCATCTGGGACTGTGACCCCTGACCGCCCTATATAGACAGCTCACGCCGGGACACCAAGCAACCACTTGAAAAGGTCCGATCATTTGCCTGGGTCTATATTTAGGGTGTATGCTCCCTTCACCACATAGCTCTCTCTTACAATTATAATAAAACTAAATTGGAGAATGGTTCAAGGAATCTCTAAATAGGCTAAAGAAAGCCACACTCTGTACTTAACCTATAAATAAGTCTAGGTATTTTCAAGCATGCAGACGGTGGTAGCATTGTTACTCATGCAGCAGGGAATTCAGCCATGTGTCATTAATATCCATGATGTCTCCGGCGGGTAACAGGGATATAAAACAGGCTAACCATTACCACTACAGAATCAGAAACTCCTCAAACTTCCCTCCCTTAATCTCAGCAAGCAGTGGAGTAGGATGTTCTTTCTGGTCCTCTGCGATGCCCTCGACGAAAACGTTTCCAACCATACGATAATGTACCACATCTTCGTCTGTATTGCGGAAGCCCGAGTCCCGCAAGGCAATCGGATTCATCATTTTGCCCGAAAGAATCAATAGATCTCCTTCCTGAATGTGCCCAATGCCAATGCCGAACCCGCCCGTTGGACAGTTCGTCAGCTGAAAGACCGTCCTTCCTGCGAGGGGTGGCAGATCCCGCAGGAGCTGTTTCACAAGTTTCGATGACTGGGTAGAGTTAGAAAAGTCGTCGGAAGAACTGGTGAGTTGTTCCAGGGCGTTGAGGATATCGTCGATTGCGAACGTCTGTTGCATCTCGCCATGGGCAAGAAAAGCCCAGACAAAGCGTTCCGTCATGTTCGCCTCGTCTACACCATTGCCCCATTCGGAGGCCGGCTCTTTAACTGCATCCAGAATCCTCCGGGCAATTTCCACAGTCTCCTCCGGGAACTTGAAAAAGATTCGAGTCCTGCCCACCCTCCTGGCCCAGAACCGTAGCACGTACTTGCCCGGAAGCAAGGACAAGTTCGTCATGTAATCTTTCTGCTCCCAGTCCTGGAGAGACTTGTCAATCTCCTTATATCTAAAACTGCTTCTAGACGTCGAATGCCGATAGTTCGGCACCCACGACGGGCTGGGGCTACCCAKGATATTCCCATGGGGCCCGCCGTAGAAATGAAACATGTTGAACACGAAATCAACCCCCTCGTAAACCAAAATCCAGAGCGTGATTTGGAGCGCCACCTCGTCCGCGGTATATTCGTAATCGACGGGGTACTTCTCCTGGACGCCGTCGACCATCGAGTATAACGCGTAGAAGCGGTCGAGGGGATTATAGCATTGGCGCTGGGCGGTCAGATCGAGCACATCCGCAAAGGACGACAGACCTTTCCGGCTGGCTGCGATATCGTGCGCAAAGTCCTGCATAGGATTTGACTGCGCGAGGCGTTGCCGCACTTCCTTCAGGCGGCTCTGGAGCTTCCGGTGGTTTTCGATGTCGGCCGCATCGCCCGCGCGCGGAGCCACTTTGTCGAGGTTTTCCATGAACGGGGTCAGAACCTCCGGAAAGTGTAGACCCAGATCGACTAGCGAGGGGAGGGTAAAGGGGATGTTGCCGACCATGCACACGGGGAGCTTCTCGGGTAGATAGTACTCCTGGAAGGTCCATATGCGTCCCCAGTACGGCGCCGAAACGATGTCCAGAAAGCCCTGGACAGCGTCTACAATAGATCCGATCGTGTCGCGCCGGTTCTTCTGGCTCCGCGGCCGCGTAATCTGCCGGACGTCCTGGAGGATCCCCGCCAGGCTGCTTTCTCTTCGCTTGATCATCGACATTGTCTGTTCCATGTTGGGATTTATTGGTCCGAGCCATGCAACGACAGAGGTCGCGTCCTTGTAGATACGGCCCATGAGAGGGAGCTGGGTGTTCTTTTCTTTGACGTTGTTTTGATCGATGCAGATAAAGTCAATCCAGATGAGGCGCTTCTTCCGGGAATGTTGAAGGCATTTCAGCGCTGCCTCCAGGTTCGTTGTGACCTGAAATGGGATGTCGTCCACCACGATTTCCACCTTTTCAACAACATTTCCCCAGACATATGAGAGAGCCTCGAATTGGGGTGAGTTGTTCAGTGACACGGTCTGCAAAGTGCATCTCACTGGGTTCTTTCCATTCTTGTTGGGTAGGATAGTGAGAAGGCGAATCTCCGCAGCCTCGGGATTGAGAGGAGAGTACGAAAACGAGCCCGAAGGATGATCCATTGGGGCAGACAGGCTTTCTAATATATGCAGATCCAAGTACGATCCGGCGAGATGTGAAGATGTTCGAGATGGAGACGTGACATATTTAGTAGTGTTGGCCGTCCGAGCGCTTTGACCTTGTGGCTTGAAGGGCTATAAAGTCCCATAGTCAGTGACGTAGCCGTAGCACGGAGATGGTTGGATTCCCTAGCTAGGAAGCCGAACCAGCAGTGAAGATAGGGGCAGCGGGCTGACTCAGCTAGTAGAGGTCATATGACCCTACAATACAGCCCCCTCAGCACACTAACTCAGTGAGGTCTATCTAACTTCCTAAATAAGTAATATCTATATTCTATTAGGTATTTATAAGCACTTGTGCCCTAAACCCTTTAAATAATATCTTTGCTAGTGGTTTTATTAGCTAATTAGCAACATTCTCTATCCCTATAATCTAGTATAAGATGATTCTGCCTTTATCCATTACCTATTTAATAAAATAGTAGTAATTATTAATCTATTTAGTAGTGGATTGGTATCCTAACTTCTATAAGATATCTAGCCTATTACTACTATTAGTCTAGATTAGAACTGGTGAATCATCTTTAATTCTAAGTATAGAGGTTAATTACTTAAGCTATATAGCTTCTTTAGTAGTAGTATTAAATATAATATATTTAGTAATTATAGATAAGGGAGTAATAATTAGTTAAGCCTTACTACTCTATAAGATTAGTACTCTACTAAAGAAGAAGATATATACCTTAGTAGATCTGCTATTCTCCTAATCTTAGAATAATAAGTCTATATAGCTAACTAGCTTCTGATTAGGTGAGGTACCTAGCTCTATTACTAGATTAGGGTGGCCTTTAAGGTATCTATAGATTTTATTAGTTATACTTAGGTTAGTAGTATTTAGTTTAGATCAGCTTTATAATCTACTAATTCCATAGGTTAGATCTAGCCTTATCTTAATACTTAGCTAATTAATTCTGCTAGTATATTATTAATAAGTAAATTTATTAATTAGATTAGTATCTTTAGTTAGTTACTAGCTAATAACTATTAGTAGATCTACTACTTAGTAATTAGTTATCTTTATCTTATAGAGAATCTTCTAGATATAAGGCTCTTATAATAGGGTAATTATTTACTTAGCCTAATCCCTAGTAATCTTATAGCTAAGAAATCTAGTTAGCTCTCTAAGTTCTTTAAGGCTAAAATCTTTCTTAAGGCCTTATTTAATCTTATTTAGGAGGCTATGACTCTCTATAGCTATTATATTATTATTAATATATAGGAGAATAAATATCTATAAACCTTTTATATAAATATAGGGGTCCTTAAGTAAAGGCTTAAAATCTAGTTTCTTTATTACTTTAGTAAATACCTAGTACTAGAGGTAAGCTGATTAGCAGAGGCTATAGAGGGCTTACTATAGTTAATAAACCTAATCTCCCTTAGCAGAGAAGCCTATTAGCTAATACATATAGATCTAGTGCTTCCCCAGAGTAGTATATAGATAAGTAGTGATTATATTAAATTATTCCTATTCTAGATTCTAGATTATAGTAAGTAAGAGAATAAGTTTAATAGCTAATTTAGTACTAACTAGGGCATGGACCTTATTAAAATCATAGCCTATCTTCTAGAAGTTACTATAGATGACCCATCTTACTTAGTATTAGCTAATATAGTTATTAGTATCTAGCTTAAGATCATAGACCTACTTCCCTAGAAGTAATGTAATATCTAGTGATTACTTAATAACTTCCTAGGTGTTCTTCTTAGTTAATTTACCTATCTAGTCTTCTATAGTAGCTATCTAGTAAGCTACTTATAGTGATTAGATTACTTAATTATATCTTATTAGTATCTTAATATCATGTCCCTTAATCTTATAAGGGATAGGTGTGGCAAAGAGGGCTAAGCTATAGTCTAATTTATTATTATTAAAATAAGATTCTTATATAATTACAGCCTAGGCTATTTACTAATTACCTAAGTAAGCAGGGCTTTTACCCTTAGTTAATCTTAATAAGATTTATCTTAGTTACTCTTTAATATCTGCTACTATAAATAGTTAATCTGTAGGTAATGCTATTAGTTTATATATATCTATCTTAATACTTTAATAGACTTCTTTAGTCTATCTAAGATTACTAGTAAATTTACCTAGCATCTAGACACTACCATTAACTCCCTAAATCTATAGTTAAATTAATTTCTACAGCTTAGCATCAGGGTTAATAGTCTAGATTCTCCTAGTTATATAATCTAGAGGGGGTGGCAGAGTTAGAAGATTCTTCCCTATATTTTACTTATATCTATCTACCTACAGAATTATAGTAGGGCCTCTTAGCTCTTTTAGTAATAATAGTTTAATTAGTTTTATTAGATCATTTCTAGCTACTAGCCTAGGATAGTTATTTCTTCCTTTATAGAATATAGCATCCTATATTTAGTGCACTTTATTTATTTCT